GCTGAATAAGCTATTTTTTAGCTGAAGAAGCATATGTCTGCCTGAACAAGCTCTTATTCTGCTTCCAATGTTTGTTGGGCGATTTGGTGCTAACTAATTTTCAATCCAACAAGTAGGCTTAACTCAGATTGGGGTTTTACGCTGCCACTGCCGCTGCCGTTCCGCTTCCGCTGTCAATGCGCTTGGGCCTTTAGTTGGTAAACGATTTTCATGATAATAAACAATCGGTGTATCCCTCAACAAATTTTCAGCTTTGACAGTTCATCCCAACTAACGAAATCTTTTCACTAATGGCGGTAATCTCTAACTCGGATAGTGTACCCTAATAAACGGGTACCATACTCTAACGATATCATAGATGGTACGACCATCCCACATAAAGTTGGGATGATATCCCGAATTGGTGGTTAGGCGCTTCTTATGGTTATTGTTTATGCGGGTAGTCAATAGTAAAAACAAAGATGAATACTAAGATGAAACTGTCAGAAGAAAAACTTTCTATTTTAGTGTCCTCTTTCACGGTCCCTTTCATCCATTGAATACCCCTCGTATTCAAGGTAATTTTGTGGTGTTGCTGCTCCCTCGGTAGAGATGAAATTTTGCGCTCATTTTTATCAAAACAAACACATCAAAATCAGAAGTGTCCCATTTTTTAATTACTCGATTAACAACTAATCGATTTTTTTTTGTTCGCTGTGCTGCCATTTTTCCACTAATGAGAGTGCAGCACATGTTTGAAACGATCGGTGATGATCCTCTGGAGAAGATAATGCTTATATCGGCATGATATAACCGATTGCAAATATTTTACTTTTCGGTTCGTTAATCGATTAATCGATAATTCGAATGAAAATCGGCCATCACCAGATGAATGTGAAACGTCATTTCAAATATATGGACCGTACATAAATAATGATACAATTTGAAAGGGACCGGGGCTCATCACTAATTACGTCCACACGGTAACTGAAATAAACACGAGTGTTCACCGGTTGGTAAAAATGCGAGGGGCACACAATACAAACCCGCATAAACGCGAACCATAAATTGACCTTACCTAAAATGGTTAAAAATTGTTTATAATCCCTGCTAAACTTTAACTAAAATGGTTATGGAACTTTACATGAACGTTTAATGATAAAGTTTCAACCTTATGTATTATGGTTTTTTGGAACTGGACCTTACAAATAATGGGTTGTTAAGAACCATTACCATTCCAAATTCTTGTTTTCTCCATACATTTTCAGAAAGAGAACTATATAAGAACGTTTTTACTTATGATTTGAGAACATTAATGGTAATGGTTATGGTAGTCAGTAAGGTCCATTAATGGTTTTGTATTATCGCTCAACTTTACGTGGAATATATCGTGAATTGGTAATCAGTAAATTACAGGCAATAGCTACCAACTACGATACTTTTAAATTGACCGTTAAATGCTTGTTCGATGAACAACTTGCGAGTGTTATGTCTGTTTGTCTGTGGTTAAAGTACATTTTTAATGTAATGTAAAATGTAATAATTAAATGTACATTGTATAATTAATGTAATTAAAGCAGTAGTTAATGGAATTAATTTAATTACAGCCGTTGCCTGCGTTGGAGTTAAAGGTTATTGCGTGCCCCTAGTAAATGTAGAAATGTATCCATTCGAATGAGTAAAAGTTACTTACTCTCTGAGCTAGTTTCGTTTTCAGTGTATATGCTGAGTTTGTCCGGTTTATGCCCAATCTGGGTAAACTAAAACCACATTTGGGAGTTCTGTTCTAAGCGTGTTTTACGGATGAAAAACAAAACAAAAAGCCAACGGGATGTGAACAGTCGTTGGCATTTCTTCATCAACATTTCAAAAGGGCAAAGCTGCTCTAGCCGTCGATTTCTTGTGAATAAAAGCTCACACATGCAAACAAATTGACACCTACAAGTATAGGGGGTCGCCCAAGTAACAATTTTAGTTTTATGAGGGTTATAGAGACCATTATTTAGACTTGTAGCATGCTTTAAAACCTCGATAAAACTTGCAATGTTACTTGGGCGGTATTGACCTTTCTGACGTTTATAACACGCATACTTGAGAAATCCCATTTTCAAAAGCGAAGTTTGTTATCCTCACTTTCGCTCCAGTCAAAAACGTTCGTTTGTTATTGTTATCCTCATTTTCGGACCATCAATTGGAAGATTGCCCGCATAAACGCGAACCATAAATTGACCTTACCTAAAATGGTTAAAAATTGTTTATAATCCCTGCTAAACTTTAACTGAAATGGTTATGGAACTTTACATGAACGTTTATTGATAAAGTTTCAACCTTATGTATTATGGTTTTTTGGAACTGGACCTTACAAATAATGGGTTGTTAAGAACCATTACCGTTCCAAATTCTTGTTTTCTCCATACATTTTCGGAAAGAGAACTATATGAGAACCTTTCAACTTATGGTTTGAGAACTTTAATGGTAATGGTTATGGTAGTCAGTAAGGTCCACGAATGGTTTTGAAACATCGATCAACTTTATGTGGAATATATCGCGAATTGGTTGCCTGTAATTTACTGATTACCAATTCACGATATATTCCACGTAAAGTTGAGCGATAATACAAAACTATTAATGGACCTTACTGACTACCATAACCATTACCATTAATGTTCTCAAATCATAAGTAAAAACGTTCTTATATAGTTCTCTTTCTGAAAATGTATGGAGAAAACAAGAATTTGGAATGGTAATGGTTCTTAACAACCCATTATTTGTAAGGTCCAGTTCCAAAAAACCATAATACATAAGGTTGAAACTTTATCATTAAACGTTCATGTAAAGTTCCATAACCATTTCAGTTAAAGTTTAGCAGGGATTATAAACAATTTTTAACCATTTTAGGTAAGGTAAATTTATGGTTCGCGTTTATGCGGGTGCCGCAAAAGCTCAACGCAGATGTCGCCACCATAGAGGTAACTCTAAGACCACTGGGTCCCGAAGAAAATCATTATTATTTTTGGCTCACTCAGTACCAGAACAACGGTCCCAAGCAGTCCCAAGCTATTTCACTCAACCCTGCATGTTCTGCATGAATCCACACACCCCTGATGTTATCTGTCAAACTTTCATAGCGAATCAAAACAAACATAGTGTAGTAATAGAATTTCAACTAGAATAGGGTACGTTAATCGTTTGCTTGGGACCAATAGGCTACTAAAGTGGTGAGCCAATTTAAAATCGTTAGTTTCGTATTGATTGTTGTCGCCACTGCATGATGATGATTATGTTGACAGACTGCATATAAAATTCGTGAAAATTAGCATTAAATCATAATTTTCATCAAGCCTGCGTAAAATCCTTCCAATTTAACATTCGAATTGAAGAAGAAAACGTTTTTACGATCAGACTGATGTGCATCTTTGACTTTTCAAGGTGAACTTTCATAAGATATTTTCATTTAATTTCACGGCTCCATCAATGCTGCATCGTAAATATGATGGTAAACAGAAGTAAATTGTTCAATTACTCAAAATAAAGTTGATTTGTCATCTTGTTATCACTTTGAAGACCATCTAGCACCATTTTATAGTATGGTGCGTGTTGAGTAAATCAAGTTCCGGTGCGTTTTCCGTCGAAAATTGTGAGTATCAATATGTTTGCTTAAAAAAGGCCAAAATGAACATTTATTGAAAATTGGCGTCCTATACAACCAATTCTCCATTACCACCAGCATGATACAACCTTTCCTAAGTGAATTCACTTAATTTCCACTTTCATCTTAGTGAAAATCGCACATATTTCCCATTTTCTGAAAAATGCAGCTGCACAGGAGGTAAACTCTCCCTGTGGGTGCAAGCTTGTTATGCATAATTTGCCATGAAAACATCTCCGATCCATACCGAAATAATAACAAATAGTTTTCAAACACGTTTTCTTACATGATTCAAGCAAAAGTGTCCACGGGAAATTATTAGTTTTTCTTTATGGACCGATTTGCCCCAAATAGCGTCTGTTTTACTTGGAAAATTTGAAAACTATCCTCCTTCTAGTAGTTCTCACTTCGAAATGTGGGAGGCGAAAGCTTGGAAAAGTTTCACTGCAAGACACCGATACTAGTGCGCCTATAATAGACTATTATATAAAAATTCAGTGCCAACATTTCAAAGGGGCGTAATTGCTTTTGTAAACAATGACTTTAGCCGTCAATTTCCGGCGAATGAAATCTTACCTCTCCAAAATTACAATGCTAGCTGGTAGAGGAAACATCCCTCTACCTGCTGGTGTCATTATTTTTTATGAGTAAGCTTTTATTCGCAAGAAATCGACGGCTAAAGCCATTGTTTACAAATGCAATTACGCCCCTTTGAAATGTTGGCACTGAATTGCATAATATGTGCTGTGTGAACTGTCAAAACCCAAAGAATTATTAGGTATGTGCATCTTAGCGTATACGGCAACATGAACGAATTTCTCGATAAGCTCGCCGCACAGTTCGACAGAAGATGATGTTAGCTTGCGCCTGAAACAACACATTGATTAGGAGATTCATTTTCAGTCGGGTTATTCCGGATATTCGCGAAAGAGAAAATCGATGAAGAGAATCGATCAACAATGATAGGTCCTTTTCTCGTGTTGCGCGAGAATAATAACAATAATAATATTATGTTTGGGTAAACCCATGGTGGGTTTAGCATGGTGATACAGCATTGTCACCCCGTGAGGAAATCGCCGAGCGGCGGGAGTGCGGCTTTAGAGCAAATAATTATCAACCAACTCGGTCGCTGTCCCATACAAAAATCCAACATGGCTGAATCATGAATTTGACACATTAGAACACCTATATGTAGTCACCTTGGTTAAACCTACATCAGTAGTTACTTTGTGTATTTGTGTTTACATCGCAGATTTCCGATATTGCTTCTTGATCCAGAGCAACGGAGTGTTCTTTAATTTTTAATGCAGGAGTGTTTTCGGTGGTCTTATAATTATTTCGAAGAATCAAATCAGGCAAGTTCAAACTTCTTTACCAAATCTTTTTAATAAATCAACTTCGCAAGCATTCACGCATAATTACGCAGTCCATTTGAGGCACCTCGTGTCCTGATGAGTCCCTAAGCAGCGCACACAACAGTATCGGGTTCCACAAGCAGTACAAGTATAGCTGGATGGAAGACCACAAACAGCGCAGAAATGTCGTTCCGGCAGCTTCGATGGCTTGACGGCGGCCGTGAAGTAATTCGGTGCATCCGGCCGTTGCATCTTGTCCTCCTCCAGTAGCTGCGGGAAAGTTTTCCTATACTTAGCCCGGTAATACTCCGCTCCTTTGCTTCGTTTGGCTTTCTTTTTGCTATTGTTCGAACCGTCCAGATTGTCTTGGAATTTGGGAATCTTTTTCGACATAACCAGATCGGCATGTGGGTCCTCGTGGTAATTGTCCTGCTCGAGGGCTTCCAGTGCTTTACGCGCCCGCCGCTTTCGGGATGCTTCATCCAGGACACGCTTTTTATCCGCCTCGCGGATTCGGCCCGACTCTCGCGATGCCATTTTCGTTGACTTAATACTAATTCTTAACTGTTCTTAGGGAAAATTGTACAATTCGTTTCCACCACCTTATGCTTCCTTTTCGTGCAGGGAAACACTGATACGGTCCATCAAATCGTCCACCCGAGCTTGCAGTGTTTCGATGATGTCGGTCGAGATGAAGAGATGTCGTTCGTCTAGATCTTGAATGATAAACTTGCGTCCGAGGGATTGTGTTTCGTCCAGATGTAGCAGGAACTGTTTCATTGCAGGGTCACTAAAAACGCAAAAGTTTAGATTAGAGTGGAGTGAAAATGTCGAAAAGGAAAAAAGGAATTTCAGCCGATGAGAAGAAATCTCTACTGATGGAAATTTTTCACGAAACGAAAGAATTCTACCAATTGAAAGATCTCGAAAAGATAGCCGCCAAAGAGAAGGGATTGAAGGAGCAAGTGGTTAAGGAGATTCTTCAGGCTCTCGTTGACGAAGGGCTGGTCCAGTCGGATAAAATTGGCCCTTCGCAGTACTATTGGTCTTTTCCCGCCAAGAAGCGGAAGCTAAAGCAGCAGGAATTGGAGCAACTCAAATGTAAGATTGATGAATCGACCGGAAAGATTGAGGAACTAAAGAAACGGATAGAAGATGTGCAGGTAATTTGCCTTTAGGGGATCGAAAAATTTCCTATTCACAATTTTATTTTCAGGAAACTCAAGGAGAATCCTCGAAAAGCGCTGATGTTTTTGACAAGCTGAAAGCACTCAAGGAAAAGGAAAAACAGTTCTCACTGGACCTCGAAAAATTAAGGCAAAATGATAAAAAATCGCTGGAGACGATGAACAAAACTCTTCCGGTTAGTACAATAATATTATTCAGTTTCATGTTAGCGATTATAATCATGGAATCTACCTTTCCATCCAGGGTTTACATGACGCCGCAAACCGCTGGACGGACAATATATTCTCGATAAAGTCGTGGTGCAAAAATCGCTTCAACATCCAGGAAAACCTGATCGATAAGCAGTTCCAAATTCCCTCTGACCTTGACTATCTGGAGTAGGGAATAAAACTTATTTAACACTTACCATTCAACAAGCACTCCTTTCATTACATTCACCATTGCTGATGATTAAAATGAAGGTTCCCTTCTCCGGGTAACGTTCTAAGCTTCGTGCCACTTGATATAATCCGATTTTTCGTAATTACCTCTAAATATAAAGAAAATAGCGGCGCACTCGTTTACCACTTTTTTTTGGAACCCGGATACTTTGCGAATATTATTATTTGCATCTGACAGATGGTTGTGTAGGGCTGCCAGTTTGGTCAGTTATGAAAGTTTGATCGATTTAGAGATGTGTGCCGTGAAATCGATGTAGAAAAAGAGCCCATTCAGGAGCGATTTTTCAATAGGTCGTATGTAACAAATAATACTACATACAATAATACCAATAATCAATACGAAACTAACGATTGAAAATTGGCTCATGACTAGCCTATTGGTCCCAAGCAAATCAACTAACGTACTTCATTCTAGTATAAATTTCAGTACTACACTATGTTTTTTTTTTCCTTGATTTGTTTTCCGTCGATCTTGTTTTCCGTGCTGAGCACCAATGCTACCGACGTCAGGGAGGAAGCTCCCACACCTGAACCCTACCTATCGACCCATCAACTCATGAACCGGGGACCAACGGCTTTACTTCCCTTCCGAAGGAAGGCGTGATCAGAGATGTTGTGCCTCAGAACATCCCGGCGGCGCCGACTGGGATTGAGCCCAGGCCTGCTGGGGTGAGAGGCAATCACGCTTACCACTACACCACCGGCGCCGCTTGCACTATGTTTGTTTTGATTCGCTATGAAAGTTTAACAGATAAAATTAGGGGTTAGTGGATTAGCATTAGTACTCAGTGCGGCAAACAAGGTCAACGGAAATGATATCAAGAAATGGAAAAGTGCTCTTGATGAAATAATTTTTCGTTCTAGCCTGATACGCAGCAGAAAAGTAATGACGTTTTTACGTGCTACAGGATAGGACACGGAATGCTCAAGAAATTACTTTCCTTTAGCATTTCTTGACCAAGTACGCAGTTCAAAATAAATCGGAAAAGGAAAGATCGTTTACATTAGAAATACTCAGACGGAGAGATAAGCGGAAGGAATGTTTTGAGTCAAATGAACTGTCAAAATCTGAGCCAATCGAACATTTCAATTAGATTTTTTCCGAGGATTTATTATTCTTACTAGATTAATTTAGAGAGTATTGCATTCGAACAGAAATTCAATCACCTTTATGTTTCGTGTACTTCTCAAATTCTACTAGTTTTTTTTTAATAAAAAAACAATATTCTAACTCTATTGATTAACTAATAGCACCAAGAAATGTGCAAAATATTGCCATGCACTCAATTATTATTTTGCACGTAAATCGAATCAAAAATAAAAGTCATGTGAAATGCTAGCTTCTAGCAAGGGTTGCAAGATTATTTAGGTACAAATCCCTGCTGCCGAATTGTATTTTGTTTTTTCCGCCCATCTCTCCCTCTGAGTATTTCTAGTTTACATAACACTAATAAAAAATCCAATTATTATTTTTATGTGTCCCATACATGAATTTTTGCAATGTGATTGTGGTATGCAGAGTTGGTACGGAATAATAATAATAATAATAATAATAATTTGTATGTATAATAAAATATAGAGTAAAGTTAGACCCATCAAGTTTTGACATACTCATTTTGAGTTCAATTCAGGTAGCGTGTACCGTACATCCATAGAGGTAAAGGCCGGCGCACAATGGATACGTTTTCAGGTTTTTTGACAGTTAGCCAATGCATTATCTGTCGAAAACCCGGAAACTTATACATTGTGCGCCAGCTTTAAGTCTAGAAGGTCGCGAAGAAACGTGCTCAACTTTTTGGCTCAGCTCTGGTACTATCTTCGGTCCCAAGCTAATCGATGCACCCCTCGAAACATAGAAAAATCCACGAACCCCTCATTTTATCTGTCAAACTTTCAAAGCTAATCAAAACAAACACAGTGTAGTACTAGAATTTCGTCTAGAATGGGTTACGTTAATCGATTTGCTTGGGACCAATAGGCTTGTCAACTAGTGAGCCAATTTCAAATCGATAGTTTCGTATTGATTGTTGATATTACGTTGTACCATAGAGGTACTAAGACTAAGACTAGAAGGTCCCGAAATAACGTGCTCAACTTTTTGGCTCAGCTCTGGTACTCTGTTCGGTCCCAAGCTAATCGATTCACCCCTCGAAACATGGGAAAAACCAATCACCCCTCATTTTATCTGTCAAACGTTCATAGCGAATCAAAACAAACATTGCGTAGTACTAGAATTTCGACTAGAATAGGGTACGTTAATCGTTTGCTTGGGACCAATAGAGATTGCTGACGTTTGTCGTACGTAGTGTGCGTCACGTATACGTATACGCAAAATGTTTTCATCGGGAAAAAAAAACTTCATAGCGGAAAATTTTCCCGATGAATACAAATCACTTACACAATCATACTTTAGCAATCTCTATAGGCTACTAAAGTGGTGAGCCAATTTAAAATCGTTAGTTTCGTATTGATTGTTGGTTGAACGATGTACATCGATTTTGCGAACAAAATTACATCTGCATCTGTATCTGCTTTTTGCTATTACATAATATTTCATACATCAGCTTCAATTACGTTGATTGATATTACAATTATTTTTGCTGTGTAGTTAGGGGGAGGAGGGTGAGCATCCCGTTGTTTGGCCCTGGATCTCTAGCTGCATGAAACAAATCAACTGGCAGTAGGTTCAATATCATTATTTCATTACATAATACCAATTTGTTCCGAACGGTCGGAAGTCCAAGATGTTGCACGGGATGCTCACTATGCCCCACCTGTTCACTATGCCCCTCTTACCCCTATATGGGGAGGGGCATGAAGTAGTTCGCCTCCTAGTGGTGTGCCCTGGAAACGTTAATTATCGAACCCAAGGGAGAGATATTGCGGCTAAACGAACTACAGCAGAGTAAGGACGCTGGAGCCCCATCCAGCTCGTCCCAGGAGGTCGATAAGCCCTGCACAAACCCTCGTTGTGCAAAGGCAGGAGTGACACCGGGTTCTTAGAGTGCTAAGCACACGCAGCTGGTAAGCGGTCACATCTGTCTGTACTGTGCAGTAGCGAGTGTCACGTCTGTGACACACCACTAGTGTGATGCGCCATAGCGCAACCGGCCCCCTCCCATGATGTAATGCTTTCGGGTGGTTCCGGGGAGAGCAAGGGCCAAGAGCACAGAGTAAGGTTTAGTGGGTCGGGAGCGCTACTTCTCCCATCCCCACACCCTGAGTTATCTTATCAGGTGTCTGGGAGCAGATTCCCCCCTGTAAAAAAATTCTATTTGGGGAACTCTTAATTTGAAACTGCAAAATTTTTATTGACACAATTTGTATTCTTTGTGTGTGTATATAGAAACGACGGCTCGTTGTTATGAAGAATAGCTCACTCGTGAAAAACGTACGCATTTGTACGGGTCCCATGTGCGTTGGACACAATTTATGAACTTAGCGATGAGAAAGACCCGAGTGTCAAACGTCTGGTTATAACTGTCGTGACCGGACCTAGGTTTCCAGCCTCGGCCACGGCTACATGAATTAATGGTGCTGCTCTCCCGAGTGCTCTACCACGGCTGCGGCTGGTCCCAATGTTGCTGCTAATGTTACAAGAATGCCGCAACAAGCTAAGGTACCTCATATTTATATCTGCTAACATATCAAAATTCTCGAACCAACGATATTCCATTTACATGCGGTCTATCACGCTTCACACTCACTCGGTTCCACTCATTTTTTATTTCACACTAACTCTATTTACTACATACTTAGTTTTTTCTCCCGAGCTCAGCTGTGCAAACCTCGACAAATTTTTTTTTACTGAGATCTAGCTAAGCATTATCCGAGACTCAGCAATCAAATGTCACTTTTGCTGAGATTTCAGTGAAACTTATTTTTCTCGAGATTTGCAGCCGAACTCGGTAGAAAAAACTAAGTGTATACAATAACTTTGATAGAGGCAAAATTTACAGTGAAAATGGGAGTTATGTATCGTAACAGTAGAAAAAATCGTATCTTCCCGATGAAATTTGGTTGCATAGCAGTAATTTTCATTGTTTAAGCATTATTTTGATGAAAAACTAAATTGATGTTTCTCCGGAGAATGATTTTATGATAAATTTTATTATAAAGGGTGATACGGTCAAAATTTGGTCAAGGGAAAACGCGTGTAAATCGGTGAAATCGTTTATTTAAAAAATCAAATTAAATTTCTTTTTCAAGTTCAATTAGTATAAAATTCAGGAAAAATATTCAGTTAGGCTTCCGCTTTTCCAAATCCGAATTGCCGGGCCTTACGCTTGACCCCTGCCATCAGATTTTGTACAGCCACGTTGTCCACCTTCTTCGCCGCAGAAAGCCAGTTTGCCTTGAACTGCTGCTCGCCCTTAGCAGTTTTTTTGGTCTTCTTTAGGTTCCGCTTGACAATAGCCCAGTATTTCTCAATTGGGCGGATCTCTGGCGTGTTGGGAGGGTTCTTGTCCTTGGGAACCACCTGCACGTTGTTGGCGGCGTACCACTCCATGGTCTTTTTACCGTAATGGCAAGATGCCAAATCCGGCCAAAACAGTACGGAACAACCGTGTTTCTTCAGGAAAAGCAGCAGACGTTTATTCAAACACTCTTTCACGTAAATTTCTTGGTTGACAGTCCCGGAAGCTATGAAAATGCTGCTTTTCAAGCCACAGGTACAGATGGCTTGCCAAACCAGATATTTCTTTGCGAACTTTGACAGTTTCATCTGCTTGAAAACATCTGCTACCTTTCCCCTTCCTTTTGCCGTATAAAACTCCTGTCCCGGAAGCTGCTTGTAGTCGGCTTTGACGTAGGTTTCGTCGTCCATTACCACGCAGTCAAACTTCGTCAGCATCGTCGTGTACAGCCTCCGGGATCGCGCTTTGGCCGTCGTATTTTGTTTATCATCGCGATTTGGAGTCACTACCTTCTTGTAAGTCGATAGTCCGACTCGTTTTTTGGCTCGATGCACGGTTGTAGACGATACACCCAGCTTATTTGCGGCATCTCGGAGAGAGAGGTTAGGGTTTCGCTTGAAACTACCGGCAACTCTCTTTGTCGTCTCAGCGGCTTCCGGTTTTCGATTTCCCCCCGATCCTATCGACAAACGTTCCCCAATCACTTTAATTACATTTGTAACAGTTGATTTGGCAACTTTTAGCGATTTTGCCAACTTTGCGTGCGAGTAGCTCGGATTTTCGCGATGCGCGAGCAAAATTTTGATACGCTGCTCTTCTTGCTTGGACGGCATTTTGACAACTGAAGAGTGAATTCCAAAATCAAAATTGGAGCAACATTCTACACACACACACCTTCAAAATGAGGGGTGTTCAGGTTTTTTAAATGCAAAATTGAAAGAAATACGTCAAGTTGATATTGACCAAATTTTGACCGTATCACCCTTTACTACAAAATTAACAGTGAAAATTTCATGAAATTTCAATGTTTTACTGTGGTCATTTTTTTTTTGGTTTCACCCAGGGGCTCACCACAAAACCGATAAAAACATTAGTCAGGTCAGGCAGCTTATTGTGGAAGTCAAAACGAACCATTTTTTGTATGAACGCTTGTATGAAAAAGTCTGTTGTTTTCACGTCCAAAATGAAACCCCAAGGCTTTTTTAATTCTTTTCTCATGATTTATTTATTTACGCTCTTTTCTTATGTACATCTGGAAAGCTCGCCAGAAAAATCGACGAAAAAGCTTGCGTGTCTGTCAACTCGCTGTCAACTAGCAGAATCCATCTCCCGTTTCTGTCCGAGGGCTTCCGTGCGCAAAAGTCAAACCCCGACGGACAAAAGTTTTTCATTCCTCGACCGGATCGCGGAGTGTTAGGTAATTTTTTCGTCGCTGGCGCGGGTGCTTGAAAAAAAGTGAATAGAAAAATCTTCCAGCTAAGAAGGCTGAAGATCACCGTGGTTGACTAAAATCACCCCCCGAATCGATTGCATTACGAACGGATTGTGATAATCCGTAAAAATGGTGCATTATGCCCGACTGTTAAACGTGCAGGTAAGTGGCAGAATCATGGATGTCCGCTCCCGTCATTTTGTTCCGGCGTAATAGCAAAAACGGGTACAAGGTCCCCCCTCCCCCTGGACGATGATGGACGTCGAAGCGCGTGATAAGACGGTTTGCGATAAGAATGATGCTGTGATGTAATCGAAATCGATGGCGTTGCAAAAATTCCAGCTGAAAATAACCCTCGAGAAAAGTTCTGGCATATTGGTTAGATAACACTCTTGGTGCAAATGTCGAATCTTCTTATTTTCATTTCGACGTCGTCGTCGTTTGTCGGCATTTGCATCTTACAGTGTATCGGTGTGTGTATGTGTGTACTGTGTTCGTTCCGTTTGCCCCCCCAGGGGATCCACTTGCCACCTCACCCCACCTAGGATGCATTCGTGTTCAGGCCGGTGTATTATACTTTTCAGTAGGAACGTGTGTCGTGATGCTTAGGATGTGTTGGTTGATCGAGTTCTTATTTTTATCGGGTGTACCTACTTGAACCCTCTCGAACCCGAGTGGATGGATCCGCTGCCGACCGGTGTTTTGATGTTTACTTGCGATTTGTTTCTTCGTAGATTGAAGAATAGTTAGGTCAAGATTTCAATCCGACTTAGATTTCAATGGGTTCGTGGCAAAACCATGAAACCTTATCAATATTTTGATGATCGTATTTGTTGTGATTGGAAGATTCGTGTTGACATAGGTACTACCCGTGAAATACAACTATTTATGGTTACATATAACCAAGATTTGATTAGCATTAATGTGTGGCATGTGAGCGCGAAAGTGTTAATCATTTTAAAATGGATGTTCTGTAAAGGTATATAAATAGAACAGTTTTGTGGTGAGATCGGTCTATCAAGTTTTGTGATCATTGAAACATCTTGCCTGTTCATGATTATCGTATTTGTTTTAGTTTAAGTTCCAACCTCGGGGTCGGGTATCAAAATAGGATCTGTTTGGAGACTGCCCAGAAACCACGTAGTTTTCGAGAGTTTATACAACTGTTGATTAGATCCTCATCATAAAGTCTTGTGGGTTAAGACATTTCATCCATATTGATAGGTAGGATAGGATTAAGGAAACAATTGATTATCTGAGCTCTTAATGCAATTCTAATAATAAAATTATCTTCTGGTTGTCTGTATTTCTCTAAAAAAAAAAAAATCCTGAATATACCGAGCAAACCCGAGCAATGTTATTGTTGATTTTCTAGTACATTAAAATATATTGTTAAATTTTTGTATCCAAGAAAACACGAATTTCAGATTCTCAACAAAACAATGCTTAAACAATAAAAAATACTGTTCTGAAACCAAATCATGCTGAAGGTTATGTTAGCTACATTAGGTCCTAAGTAACATTGCCAGATTCTCTTCGTCGACTTTCTCTTTCTGCCTCCACGGCCATGTAAAGACATTTCCAGGCATCTTCAGCACATAGAACGATGAAAGAAGCTTTTATCTAGCATCTAATACGACAGCACATTTAGAACCTAATGCAATGTTTAGCTTGAAATTTCTTCGGGAAATATCGTTTTTTTACTGTTAAGATACTTACAGTGTCTACTACCATAAAAAAAACCTGGAAATACCTAGAAACTCGGGAATTCTCAGGGAATTCTATTGACAAATGCAATTACGCCTTTTTGAAATAGTGGTACTGAATTCTTAAAAATTAGAATAGAATATATAGAAGTACGCTAAGGAACCTTCTCGAGCAGAAAATACAACTTTTTCTTTCTCGGTATTCACTTTTACTCTTTGAACATAACAATTCTGTAGTGGATTATCTTCAGTAACAACATTAATTCTGAAACATGAATTGTTTTTTTTTTTGTGGTTCTGAATCATGAATAATTTCTACAGATTTTAAACTTAGACACATTTTTGGAACCTCCGTTAGCCCTTGACCATGCTGCAGTTGGCTGGGTTCGATTTCCGGTGCGGTCTAGGAATGTTTCGGGTTGGAAAATTTCCCAACTTTCCCGGGCATAGAATATGATTGTACTTGTACACAATTATAATACTGATGTAAAAATGGTACAGGCATCGAAAGCTATAATAACTGTGGAAGTGGAACTAGAAGTTAAGAGAAGCTAATATGCGAAAAGCAATAAGCTTACACTGCGAAGAAACCCTGCAACTAATAAAATCAGATGAATTTTCAAGAATCTGTTTGTTGAGCATTTCCAAGGAACTCTAGGAATGATTTCAAGGTAATTCAGCGGAGAATGGTTAGGAAAAGTTGAAGTGAAATCTGAGGATTCTTTTCAAGTGAGTTCTGTTGTACTTCAGATAAAAAGTAAGGTGTAACGTAAAGTGAATTCCATGGTACTTCTGACTATAATCCCAAGGGAATCCCGAGTAGGATTCAAAGGAAATTTTCAATATAATTCTGACAAGGATTCAAAGGTAATTGCAAAGAAAATTTCGAGATTGTTCTGGGTAGGGAACTTCAGGGCTGGTAGCAGGTCACTTTTTAGTTACTAAAAAAACCAAAAAGTCACTAAAGCCACTATTTCCCTAAAAATAGTCACATATTTGTTAAAAAATTGAAAATTTTATCCAGGGTGACCAGTGAACCGCAAAACTTTAGAACATCAGGAAAACTATTGGGAAATGCCTTTAATTTCGATAAAAAAAATCGGAGAAAATATACCTCCTTTCCCAGAAAATAAATTGTAAACCTTGGAAACTTTCCAAAGGTATTTGTCTGTGATAGATTTTCACAAGTCTTAAGATGATTAAGAACTTTAAAAAATCCAAAGTAAATTTTAGGAGAATTTTATAGGATTCTAGGGATGACACCAAGATATTTCAGAGAAGATTGCCAAAGTACAGGCTACGGAAGTCTCATGTAAAATTAAGTGCTCTGAGGACCGATTTCTTCACCTCCGCTTAAATCTTAAACCAGGTTCACCTATTTAGTTATACCTGAGTGCGTTTAACAAGAGTTCTATGAAGATTGGATGAGTATTGTCGTTCAAATTCTAATAAGAATTCAAAATTAGTTCCGAAATTCCAAAAGATTTCTAAAGAGTTCGATATAAATTCCGAGAATTTCAATAAAATCGAATTTTGAAGGTTCAATCTCAAAGGAATTCTGAGAAGAGTTTCAAAGTTATTTTGTGATGGATTTTTGTTTTGAGCATTCTGAAGAAATACTATGGAAATTCTAAGGAGAATACGAATTGAATTTCTAATTGAATGCGGGGGAGAAGTCCAAGATTATTCTAAGCAGAAATCAAATAAATTTAAAATGGATTTATGGAAGGAGCCTTCAGGGAGTTCCTAGCAGAATCAATAAAAAATCGAAAATGATCTACTCTAACTAATCGTATGTTATTACTTTATGCGTGAATTTAACGATTTGCATAGTCGGAGATGCTTAACGTCAAATATCCGACTTAAAGTGGAAATTTTATACGATAGATGAGGAGATTAAGTTATAGAGTTGATAGTTCCGTTGTAGTAGGGGAAACGCTCCTATAGTTGCGTTAGAAGCGTTAAGTTCCTATAGTTGAGTCATGGGGACTCAATACACAACTATAGGAATCTAATGCGTCTAACGTACCGCAACTATAGGAGCGTTTACCCTACAGCAGTGTGAAAATTGTATATACAAAGTAGAAAGCGAACAATTTTGAGGATGGTACGAATCGGGTAGTTGTTTCCGTCCGAAGGCGACTTGAGTGTGAAATAATCGATAGAACTGTTTCCGCACATCGGAGGTACATTAGCAAATCGGCGATCATCCCTTTTGCCTTCCCTCATTAACGGATGAGCTTGGTAAAGGAGATGCCCTACCCGATTCGTACCTTCGTCAAAATTGTCCTTTGTTTGCTATCTACTTTCTAAATACAAATTTCACACTGCCTTACTATAACGGAACTATCAGCTCTTTACTTTCATCTTCTCATCTGTCGTATAAAATGTCCACTTTAATTTTGACATTTGATGTTAAGTATTTCCAACTACGAAAATAATCTATTTCCAAGAATTTTGTTGATTGTTCTGCAAAGAATTTCAAGAATGCTTATTTGCCTCTAAGTTTAAGAGAAGGGAAATTATTCTAAAAAAGTTCTTAGCGAATTATCAAAGTTATCTACCTAGATATACCGAAATTTTGAAGATTTCGAACGCAGAATCAAATTCAAGATCATAAAAAAATGGGAATTACTATTTGCTAGTTATCAAAACTAAATTATTCAAATCACTTGAAATGCTTTTCACAATAGATTTCGTTGTGAAATTCGATTAAATTGAAGGAATTTATGAAATTTAATTTTGGAGTTCAATAACATAAAAAGTTTATTTCAATATTAAACCGTAGTTAAATTTGTAAGGCTGTGAACCATTTGCCGAGTTAAATTTAACTCGTGGTTAAAAGTGACATTTCGAAAGTGATTCTCTATGTTCGAACATCCCTGTGCTGTCGATCGACCGGTTTTCGAGAAGAACTCAGCCACGGTTGTCAAAATTTAACTTCTTGTCTGTCAGAAATAACCATGCTCGGATAGCAGAGTTAATCGATAACTTTCCAACTGTCAAATTTTAATTAAAATTAAAAAAAAAAAACCACCAAATGGTTGAGAGCCTAAGTTACCATATAAATGGTTACTTATTTAGTATTTACAAGTAACTATTTGGTCACTATTTCCGTAATTTTAGTCACTAAACTCACTACTATTATATAGCATTAGCACTACCAGCCCTGGGATTTGTAAGGAGAACTCCATGGCACTTGTGAGTAGAATTCCAAGAAAAGAAGGAGAATCCAATGGAAATTTTGGAAATAATTCAAGGAAAATTTTGAAGTTGATTTCAAAGAAATCCTAAGAAGTATTCCAAAGGAATTCTAAGGAAAGCTTCAAGGACATTTCCTACAATGTTTAGAGGTAAATTCCTGTAATAATTGAAAAATCAAAGAATTTCTAGGTATTTGTAGAGTGATTCAAAGAGTCTTCTGGCACATATTTACTGCCATGCCGATAACCTTCGAGTACTGCAATCATTGGCAACAGCGCAGAACGGATTCTGATGGACTATCATGAATAAAATAATTGATTTTCGTTTCGTGACGGGGGATTTCAGAAAATCCCAGTGTGGCTTCCCAACAATATCAAAGGGGACTTCGCACAACCCCAGGGAAGAATCCGAACAATCCCAGAAACGAATTCAGTCAATATTGAGGAGGATTCATGACAGTCCAGGGGAGATTCCAAACAATCCCAGAAGAGATTCCGGACAGTAACAGGAAGGATTCCAGTCAATCCAACGGGGGATTCCAAGCAATCCCCGTATAAAAAAATTGGTGTAATGGTTCTGGAAGTTTCTGAAGAGAGTTTACCCTAACTTTAACTTTTCTTGCTAAATATTCTCAAAAATTTATATCTGTGTGCATGCTTGTAAATAAAGTTTAGCTAAACACGGTACACCGTAATCATTAATAATTATTACTAATTATGAGTTTCCTAATTTTTCCGGCATGTAATGCATCCTCTTTGACCGGTTTTATGAGATTAAGTATTAATTTTCATGAGCTAAACATAATTTTCTGAAAATATTTGGCCAAATTCCAACTCCCTTGGTCTTGAAATCGCACCACCTAGTATTTCCAATTCGGGAAATTTACCAGAATTATCATTTTCCGATTTCCAGTAAAATAGTTTGACTTGCCGGGAAACAGTTTTGTTTAGTACAAAAACCACACTAAACATGTTTTTTTTTTAATGACCAAACGACCCAGGATTTATATGGGAAAAATAGAAAAACCTATCCAGAGAAACCAGTAGACACTTCTAGGGGACGTTGAAGAAAACTGTCGGGAACAGTCAAAAGCAAATTTGCAGAAGAACTTCGAAAATACTTCCCGTGGAAATTGGAAGACGCTTCCAGGGGATGCCAAAAGGACTGAAGAAACTTCGAGGTGAAGTCGGAAGTATCTTCCGGGGGATGTCAGAAAAATTTTTCGGAGTGAAATAAGTAAAATACAAATCCGGTGAAGTAGAAATACATCACCGTAAGGAAAGCTGGAAGAAACTTACGGACAAAGTTGGAAAAATGTTTGAAGAAAATTGATAGATAGTTCCGGAGAAAGTTTGACAAATTTTTGATGCGATGTCAGAAAAGCTTCATGGTGGAGAACCTTCCAAACTAAACCGGTAGACGCTTCTGAGACAATCTATGAGAAATTCCCGGGTGAAGTTGGAAGAGAATTCCAAGAAAACATGAAAGAAATTTCATGCAGATTAAGGCACAAAACTTCCAGAAAATGTCGGAAAATCCTGGCGAGGTTCAAATTTCAATAAATAACTATCGAAAATTATATCTGGTCACTGGATAAAAATATTACCCGAATCCCGGGAGTTCCCGGGAAGAGTATTCAGCTATTTCCCGATTTCCGGGTAGCCAGAAATGTCTGGGAAATGAAAACACTAACTCCACCATATCACCAGAAACATCTAAGACATTGAACTTTTTCCTGGCCTGGAAAAGACACATCTAACTTGGATCTTTTAATAAACGAAAACTTAATCTTGAAATCAAAATATTCTGCCAGACGGTGATAGTTTGAACATCATTTGATGGAAAATATTAAACTACATTGTTTATTTTTGAGTAAATATGAGTAACTCAAATTTACTCACTGCAAACATATTAACTCTGAGTATAGATGTCTTGTCTTCAAAACCATAATATGTATCGAGCTAAAAACTAATGCAAATTGATTTTTCAAAGTAACTTGAAAGATTAATGATTTGTTTTGAATAAATTAGGGGACTCATAGAGTTGATGTATACATTCAACTTTAAAAAAAAAAACACTTGCTGTAGTTGGTTATGTTTTTAAAAACGAGAACGACCCGAATTTGAATTTAGTTAACTCATAATCGCCAAAAGTGCAGGAACTCAGCGATGAGTAAATTTGCCTCATGTTTTCCTGTGGAAAACCTCAAAAACTATGCCGGATTTTCCTAATTCTTATATGTAAATTGCACTTCGCAATTTCGACTGCCATTTTCTCAATGCCTACTTTTCCCATATGGGACTGATATGCGATTATATGCAGTGTATCTCTTATTAACTGTGATTAACACCATTGGGGTACAGCCAATACGGCAACAATAAACAATACAATAAAAAAAATTGTAATTCTTCTGTCAATTTAGTTCGGGAATTTGTTCTAACTCTCTGCAACCTATCAAGCCGAGGGGCGACCCGGCGTAGTGGTCAACATCCATACCTCTCACGCCAAAGTCACGAGTTCAAATCTCACCCCCGGACAAGTCACAAATGACCCAAGAGTGTTAAAGTGACTATAATGAAAAAAAAAAACCTATTCAAGCCATTATAGGGTTAACTACCCCATTCCCGGCCTATTAAGCACAACTCGGACTTAGTTTGTCTTAATCTAGCGTAGTTTAGCACTAAACGGAATGTTATACGCCTTTTTAATAGAAACTAAGCGATCGCTGCAACCTCTGGTGGTGAATAATAGAACATCAAAAAGAGTGTTGTGAGCAGAAATGTTTACCGTGAGACATACGAAGCGGAACACTTTTTCACTATTCCTGATAGATTGATTCATCTCAGATGATCCAAAACCTGATCTACAGTTGAAATATTAAATTCTTTGGGGGGATCCTTCAGGAATATTTTTGTTGTGAAAAATGGAAAATTATGATCTTCCGGATTTCTTGTGTGTGACTAGTTGAGATGCAAATCAGTTCAGATCTGTAGAAAATCGTTAAATAAGGCAATTACCGATGGAAATTTGCAAAATTTTCAATGACAAATTCTTTAATTTGCGTGTGTAAAATTTTTATTCTGATGTAAACAAACGGTTTGGTTGACGTTTCCTCTCAAACTCGCCTGGCGCACTCTACGTTGGTGGTGCATTAAAAAGGTCTATTGTTACAGATGGTTTCCAAATTTATTTCCCTTTCCATATGTACCGTTAGTTCTGTTAAAGGGCCGCGAAATATGTGATTATTGTTGAAAAAGCAAAACTGCTTCTGGCGGCCAGACAGAATGCCGATAAATCACTGTCATTTAATATTTTTGAAATAAATGTATTTTCTTTCGTACAAGAAATCATATTACAATTTTACATTAGAACTGTTTTTCTCTAAAATTTAATAACGTAAAGATAGTCCAAATGGCTAGGGAAGTCGAGAAATTTTCCAACCTAAAAAAAAAGGTTAAGTACGCCCCCATTTCTGTTTCACAACTCAGTTGCTATATTCGCTGAATTGTGCATTTACCTTTTATAATTTCAATACACCTCAATCAAGTTATTCAATTTCTTACTGAGATAAATTTGCATAATCGCTACCGTATTCCATCGTAAATAAACCTGTACGATAACGATCTGTAAGTTATTTATTGTCGATCCAGTTACCGTATATAATTTCGCCAGCTACCAGATAATTACCAAGCGACGCCTCCCCTTCTTTCACCAACACAATTTCCCCTGCATCATAGACACTGAATGTCGACCGATGAAGGTCACTCGGCCGGCTTCGATCACCCTCTCCGAGCGATGCTTTATTTTTATCGCACCTCTTCTCGATCGTCGTCAATATCACGTGCTTCTTGCTGCGCATCATCCATCATCGATCTTTTATTATTTTCGATATTTCATTATCTCATGCTCTCTTTCTCTCTCTCCCGGAAGCAGGCCAAGCGTGCAGCCCTGTACGCCGTTGAGACGCAGCAGCGTCACTTCCACGCGTCGTGTGCTGCCGCGGCCAAGGTCGCACTGTCCCGCTTCGATCAGGATGTGTACCTGCCGTACGAGAAGCTCCAGAAGAACCTCGAGATCGTCAAGAAGCGGCTGGGCCGTCCGTTGACCCTCAGCGAGAAGATCCTGTACGGCCATTTGGATGATCCCGTCAACCAGGACATCCAGCGTGGCGTGTCCTACCTGCGACTGCGCCCGGATCGTGTGGCCATGCAGGATGCCACCGCCCAGATGGCCATGTTGCAGTTCATTTCCTCCGGACTGCCGAGGGTTGCCGTCCCGTCGACGATCCACTGTGATCACTTGATCGAGGCCCAGGTTGGTGGTGAGCAGGATTTGGCCCGCGCCAAGGATCTGAACAAAGAGGTGTACAAGTTCTTATCCTCTGCTGGTGCCAAGTATGGAGTTGGTTTCTGGAAACCAGGATCGGGTATCATCCATCAAATTATCCTGGAGAACTACGGTTTCCCAGGTCTGCTGATGATTGGTACCGACTCGCACACCCCGAACGGAGGTGGTCTGGGAGGTCTGTGCATTGGTGTTGGCGGTGCTGATGCCGTCGATGTCATGGCCAACATTCCGTGGGAACTGAAGTGCCCGAATGTCATTGGTGTCCATTTGACTGGAAAGATCAGCGGATGGACTTCGCCGAAGGACATTATCCTGAAGGTTGCCGACATCCTCACCGTCAAGGGTGGTACCGGTGCCATTGTTGAGTACTACGGCAAGGGCGTTGATTCGATTTCCTGCACGGGTATGGCAACCATCTGTAACATGGGTGCTGAAATCGGTGCCACAACATCGACCTTCCCTTTCAATCAACGTATGGCTGATTACCTTGGAGCAACTGGCCGCGCTGCCATTGCTGGCGAAGCAAAGAAATATCAACAATCCGTACTTACTGCTGACTCGGGTGCGAAATACGACCAGGTGATCGAAATCAATCTGGACACTCTGGAACCACATGTCAACGGTCCATTCACTCCGGATCTTGCTCACCCGATCAGCAAGCTGGGTGCCAATTCCAAGAAGAACGGTTACCCAATGGACATCCGTGTCGGCCTGATTGGATCGTGTACCAACTCGTCTTACGAAGATATGGGCCGTTGCGCTTCGATCGCCAAGAACGCCATGAAGCATGGTATCAAGTCGAAGATCCCGTTCAACGTTACCCCCGGATCGGAACAGATCCGTGCCACCATCGAGCGCGATGGAATCGCTAAGACGTTCAAGGAATTCGGAGGCACCGTGCTGGCCAACGCTTGCGGCCCATGCATTGGACAGTGGGACCGTAAGGACGTGAAGAAGGGCGACAAGAACACCATCGTAACCTCGTACAACCGTAACTTCACCGGACGTAACGATGCCAACCCCGCAACGCACTGCTTCGTCACTAGGTAAGTGTGTGGCGTGCTTCTTTTGTGATTTTGAAAATAGTGGGAATATTGACCGGTATATTCGATTTATTTTTACAGTCCCGAACTGGTGACGGCCCTGTCGATTGCTGGCCGATTGGACTTCAACCCTCTGACCGACCAACTGACCGGTGCCGATGGCAAGAAGTTCAAGCTGGACTCGCCGTTCGGTGATGAGCTGCCCCAGAAGGGATTCGACCCTGGCATGGACACCTACGAGGCCCCACCAGCGGTAAGTCCAAGGGATGTGAGGGATGGAGAGAGGGGCGCGAGTCCACGTGACGTTTTGTGTAGCGAGCTAGTAGGTAGTCGTACGTACTGGGGCTTATCTTATCAGCACTTCTTGACATGCTTAGATTAGACTTTGCCGTGAGGGGGGATTTGGTAGCCGCCTGCACTGAGCGGCGAGTATTGATTGAAAGTAGGTGATGTTTGAAGGAACGGCTTTCAACGTGAAACGGAGGAAAAAAAATCATCTCAATAGTCTCTATTTTTTGCATTATTCTGGAATTGAAATTTATTTATTGATCTTCAACAAACATCTTTCGTTTGATAATGTCTTAGCCACATTTTAAAGAATTTGTGACATCATATTTTTACCTTCGTAAATTTGGAAGATTTCGTGGATTAGCTTAAGTTTTAAGCTTCCGGGACTACCATTCAGAACACCTTCGAGACCTCACTAAATTTCAAAGATTCCGAAATGTAGTCAAAATTTGATTTCATATTAGACTTATCGACATTTTTGAGCTTCGAAACTTTTGCCAGATTTGGTAAATCCAATGGACAGCCAGGGAAAACAGCCAAACGGGTCAAAACAATGTTACTAAGCAAACTGACTTAACACCGATCATGTTTGAAGCCTATCAGCCTTGTTCTTAAGATTCTGCGATTTCGACATGCTGACTTGACGTGAGGCTTCAGTTTTTTAAAGATCCCGGCACTGAGATTTTTTTATCTCCCAGGATTGGAGTCCGGATTTGGCAGTGGCGTTTCCTTAACCTCAATCTACCAACTCTCAATATATAAATAATTATCAAAATATTGCTTGCAATGGATTGATATCGAGTAAACTAGAAGATTAAGAGTATTGTTCAACCGATTCGAGTATGAATATGGCATTAAATCTGGGCTTAAAGGTTGGTGCACAGGTCAAAAGTAAGGTTACGGGACGCCACTGGAATTTAGGATTCAAACAAAATCTGATTTTTTTTTTCAGATTCTGAAGTTTAGCCAAATTAATTTTATTAGTTAAATTTGTATGGGTTTGAAGCTTTGAAAATTTGCAATGTTTCGGGATTCGGTGCAATTTTTATTAACTGGGAAGCCAAGTTTAAAGTTTCTTTGGGTTTTTTAAAGATTCCAACACATAGGTACACAAGCTTTCACAAGATTGTGAGACTGCGGGGCGACCCCGGCGTAGTGGTTAGCATCCATACCTCTCACGCCAAAGTCACGGGTTCAAATCTCACCCCGGACAAGTCACGAATGACCCAAGAGCGTTAAAGTGACTATAATAATAATAATAATAATAATAATAATAATAATAATAATAATAATAGATTTATGAGACTGTCAAATAAAAAAATCAGGGTGACAGAGAACCGGGGCCGCCGATTTTTTCCGAGGCATAAAATCTCTGATCATGCTTTCCTTCGGAAGGGAAGAAAAGTCGTTGGCCCAAGTTTGAAAGATTCCGGAATTTAGACCATCTTTCATGCTTCTATAATTTGAGCATGTCAGGGTTTTTCTTAGACCTATAAAATAAAAATTGTGAAATTTGGATAAGGATTATTAATTTAAGAACTTCCCCTAGTTTTCCGGTATTTATGGTATCACGGATTTGTTATGCATCAAACATTGTTTCGCCTTCCTTTGATTGATGTTTGTTCTCCTAAATTTGATCAATTTGATGATAAAATGTGAATTTATTCGGCCTAAAGACCCATTCGGCTAAACAGCGTCTGGCTCAGTCTTCGTACATCCATCACTAGTAGTTAGTAAGTAATACCGGAAATTATTCGTTGCATGCGTTTTCCGGGCGCTTTTGTATGGATTTCTTAGTTTATAAAAAAATCAAAACTTATTTAGAGAAAAAGAAAAAATGTAGGTCAAATCTGATTAACCAAGTTGCCAAGTGGTGGTGTTTATATTTCTTGTTTACACTGACTTGATAGTTTCCGACAGTCGTTGTGATGTGTTGTGATCGGTGTGTTTTCCTACAATGTTATGCTCTTCCCCTTTTACAGGACGGTTCCAATGTCAAGGTTGATGTCGATCCCAAGAGCCAGCGTCTGCAGCTGCTGGAACCCTTCGATGTGTGGAATGGCAAGGATCTGGTCGATATGACTGTGCTGATCAAGGTTAAGGGCAAGTGTACCACCGATCACATTTCTGCCGCTGGCCCATGGCTCAAGTACCGTGGCCATCTGGACAACATTTCCAACAACATGTTCATTGGGTATGCGGCATCGAGTAAACCGTAATCAAGCTGAAGTTTTTCACTGAAATTTCCTTTTCATACCACAGTGCCACCAACATGGAGAACAACGAGATGAACAAGATCAAGAACCAGGTCAACGGTGAATGGGCTGGAGTTCCGGACGTTGCCCGTTTCTACAAGGCCAAGGGAATCCACTGGGTGGCCGTCGGTGACGAGAACTACGGTGAGGGTTCGTCTCGCGAACATGCCGCTCTGGAACCACGCCATCTGGGAGGCCGTGCTATCATCACCAAGTCCTTCGCTCGTATTCACGAAACCAACTTGAAGAAGCAGGGTCTCCTGCCACTGACCTTCGCCAATCCAGCTGATTACGATAAGGTAACCTAAACTCAAATAAACATTTTCCCTTCCAATCAAACATGAACTATTCTCTACCAACCCCTCCACCCAGGTTCAACCCACCTCCAAGATCTCGCTGCTCGGCCTGGAGAAACTAGCCCCAGGCAAGCAGGTTGATTGCGAAATCAAGACCGACGGCAAGGTAGACAAGATCAAGCTGAACCACTCGTTCAACGAGCAGCAAATCTCCTGGTTCAAGGCTGGCAGTGCGCTGAACCGCATGAAGCAGATCGCAGCGGCCAAGAACTAAAAGAATACCGCTTCCCGACCGCCACCTGTCATCCACTCACCAGAAACGATATTCGCAATGGTTGGAACGAACGAACGATTCCCGCACTTCAGAATCGTCTGATACACCTCATACCACTCTCAAGACTACAAAGAAACTAAGCTCAGTGCGGAGATCGTGGATGAGAGTGTGCCATCGAAGCTTAGGTTAATACAAAAAAACACAAAGTATCTACTTAAGGAATAACCCTCCCATCAAAATACTAGAAGTCAACCTTTGATTAGGGTGCTAGTGTGAGGATTTTTGTTTTTAATTTGTACATAGATAATAACTGCACCGAGGAATGCAAACCAGCACGTCCTAATACTTAACCGAGCATGTAGAAATGTTTCGGAAGAAACAACAAATTTAGATGTCTTAATATATTGTTTGAAGCAAAATATTCATCATTTACGAAATACTTATATTTAAACTACACATATTAGGATTCCAAATTTATCAGTCATCAAGTAGAAACCCAGTTATTATTTCAGTGTCCTGTACGTTGGTTAGGCGAAACAATTTAGGATTTTGTTTATCTGTGTTTAGTCTGCGACAATAAATTTAAATAAAAACGATATTACTACAAAAATTAAAATTACAATGTTGCTTCTAATTTTTATTTTTCGAAAACCTCAATCTGCTCGTCTGACTCCACTTTGTAATCCACCCAGTTACTTTTATGGTCGTAGTGGTCATGTGTCGATTCTGTATTTAAATTGATGTATCTGTGATTTCCAGGGAGAGCAGTCGTTCGATTCCTTGCCGCAAGCAGGACGTCGTGATCTTCTACCAAAACGCCGGTGGAATGAATTCTGATGTTGAAGAGTACCTCCTAGCTGTATCGGATCGTTGCTACGATATTATTGTCTTGGGCGAAACGTGGCTCGATTATCGAACGCTTTCCAGTCAAGTCTTCGGTCCTGACTACGAGGTCTTTCGTTGCGATCGGAATCCTAACAACAGCCGTAAATCTACTGGTGGAGGTGTCCTTGTAGTTGTCCGTAGCAGGTTGGAGGCAAAGGCCATCGAGAACGATTCATGGAACTATGTGGAGCAGGTTTGAACAGCCATCAATCTGCGTGATCGCACACTATTTCTATGCGCTCTGTACATTCCACCTGATCGAGTCCGCGACAATGAGCTTATCGATACTCACTGTCGGTCAGTTTTCACAGTTGTCGAAAGTGCCACTCCAGTTGATGAGATATCCATTTTTGGTGACTTCAATCTGCCAGGCGTTTCGCGGAGTCCATCTCATAGCGGATTCCTGTGCCCAGATCCTGGATAGCTCTACATTTCACGCAGGAGCTATTAGCCTTCCATGTGCAATAACTAAGCTAGTTCCACATCACCCTCCTCTAATTGTCACTGTTGAGGACAAACTCGTGCGTGATTTCGACGACTATCCTGCTACGGTTTCTTATGACTTCCGTAAAGCTGACCACCGTAGCATCATAGATGTATTGTCTCTAGCATGGTATGGGAGAACATCCTTGATCCAGATGACGTTGAGGCTGCAGCGCAAACCTTTTCACATGTCTTGGCATATGTCATTGACAGACACGTCCCGAAAAGAACTCACCACAAAGTCTCACCCTCCCTGGCAGACGAGAGAGCTACGTAGGTTGAAGTCAATCAACAGAGCATCATTGAGAAGATTTACGAAGTATCGCACGTTTCCTCTGAAACTACATTATGTGAGGCTGAATCACATGTACCAGCGAGTCAGTCGTGAATGCTTTGCAAGTTTCCAACGAGGCATCCAGCGCAAACTTAAGCTACACCCGAAATCCTTTTGGAACTACGTGATCTAGCAATGCGGGGAATCCGGCCTCCCATCGTCTATGGAATTCAACGAAGAAGTTGCTGCCACCGTTCAGGATATATGCCACCTTTTTTTTCCGAAAATATTGCCAGTGTATTCACTAATGAGATACTAACTGACGACCATATTAACCTGATTTCTAAGGCCGCGACTCTGCTCAAGTCATCCTTCAATCCTGGACCTGATGGAGTTCCATCTGTATTTTTGAAGAGACATATTGCTAGCTTGTTAATTCCGCTTCTTCGTCTGTTCCGAATGTCTCTCTCAGGTGGCATATTTCCATCTTTCTGGAAATTTGCGCACATGTTTCCCGTCCACGAAAAAGGAAGGAAACGAGCTGTGGATAACTATCGAGGAATTACATCGTTAAGTGTCGTTTCGAAGCTATTCGAGCTAGTGATTATGGAACCGTTGCTGTCCCATTGCAAGCAGTATTTGAGTGCTGATCAACATGGGTTTACTGTCGGCCGCTCTACAACCACCAATCTGCTGTGTCTCACATCGTATATAACCGAAAGCATGTCGGATCGGGCTCAAACGGACGTTATTTATTCTGACCTATCCGCAGCATTCGACAAGTTGAACCATGCTATTGCGATTGCTAAACTCGGCAGGCTCGGTGTATGCAGTAATCTTCTGAGTTGGTTTCGATCATATCTTACCGGTCGGCAACTAAAGGTTGCCATAGGAGATTGCAGATCAGCTAGCTTCTTCGCCACATCAGGTATACCTCAGGGGAGCCACATGGGACCGTTAATTTTAATACTTTACTTCAACGACGTGCATCTGGTCATCGAAGCTCCTCGGTTATCATATGCAGATGACCTCAAAATCTTCCTACGAATCTGCTCCATTGCTGACTGTCACTTTCTTCAACGTCAACTGAATGTATTCGCTAGTTGATGCAGGCTAAACAGAATGGTAGTGAACCCAGCCAAATGCTTCGCTATTACGTTCTCACGGAAACAACAACCGATAATATTTACCTAGCTATGACCTGCTTGGCTCGACAATCGAACGCGTGAATCAGGTGAAAGACATGGGTGTGATCTTGGATTCGCAGCTTTCATTCAAGCAACACATTGCATATGTTGTTGATAAGGCGTCAAGAACTTTACCCAAGTAACAATTTCCAGTTGAAGAAACGCTTTCGTTTTGATTTTGTTCAGCTGCATGTTGAATAATAATTGCACAATGTGTTCACCACAACTTTTATAAAACCCTTGTTTACACTGGTTTGGAGAACCTATACAACTGCAACACAAAGGTGTTGTCTAACGTATTCAGTAAAACGTTTACCCAAAATCAATTTCTTGTTGAAGAAACGCTTCCATTGTGATTTTATTCAACTGCATGCTGAATAATAACTGTACAATTTGTTTATTACAACTTCTGTAAAACTCTTGTTTACACTGGTTTGGAGAACCTGTTCAACTACAGCATTATATGTATACACGGTATAGGAGTAGAAGCAACTTTTATACAACGTATATAGATACATATTTAAACTCAAGCTTTATTATTTTGGTGAAAGCTCTCATTCAACGTTTGTAGACACTTCTTGACAGCTGCTTTGAAATTTAGTAGAGAGTAAACCTGAGAGGCGTTTGTTGCACTCTTTTATGACTCCTAAATAATCATTGTACAGCAAGCGGTGAAAAGCGTTTATAGCACTTTTTAATGACTCCTTAATAACCGTTGTGTAAGTACTCACAATATTCACAGATTAAAATTAGTTTAACAATTGTCGTGGTACGCCAAAATAATTGCTTGTACAGTTTTTATTAATTTAATTTATTTGTGCACATTGAAAAAATATGTAATTATGCATCTGTTTAATCTTTGATTGATATTCTTTCAATTAATCTCTCTAATCATTAATGATTATTAATGATATTGAGAGAATTTATCTAGAAATGTTATCGTTGATTATATGATATATTTCTTAAATTAATGTTTGCATTTATTAATATAACACCTATATATAATTTACCTCTACTCCACCGAGGGTTTCTCGAAGCAAGATTCGAACTCATGATCCCGGATTGCCAGCCGTTTCTGTTTCCATCTGCTCTATTCTTGAATACATATTTTGATCATATGAGAGAAGTATATGAAGCCATCTTGAGTGACTTCTTTTGCAGTCGAATAATCATTGCCTTATGGTCATATAAACGTGCCTATCACTTGTGCTATTTTTAGCAACAAAATTGTGGTTGGTAGTTGGTCGAACGTAAACAATCATTTAAGAGTGCTCCAAGCAGCTTTTGAAGCTTCTAACCAAAAAGGCAATACAACTACATTCTTGTTCAACTCTGGAAGCTATTATTCAACGTTAGATCAACTCAGGTGTTGTATAAGAGCTCCCAATGGTTTGTTTTGATGCGTTTATTCCACGTTCTATATAGCTCTTGTCAATCGGTTTGACTAAGGTGCTATAAAAATTATCGTAGGCCTTATAAAGCATATATTAAACCAAACGTAAACAATCATTTAAGAGTGCTCCAACAGCTTTTAAAACTTTTAATCAAATGGCAATACAACTACATTCTTGTTCAACTCTGGAAGCTATTATTCAACGTTTGATCAACTCAGGTGATTTATAAGAGCTCTCAATTGTTTGTTGGGTAGGGTTCATTTTTGGGATAGCTAAAAACTTCACTGAAATCTACTGTCTAAAATCTCTCTATTGTTCGCTTGTTCGATCGACGCTTGAGTATTGTTCACCGGTTTGGAACCCAAACTACAACAACGGTGCCGAGAGAATTGAATCTGTTCAACGTCGCTTTCTTCGTTTTGCGTTGCGTATATTGCCTTGGAATGATCCGTTTCGATTACCCAGTTACGAAAGCCGTTGTCAACTTATCGACCTAGAACTTCTCCGGACTAGAAGAGACACAAGCAGAGCCCTAACCGTGGCCGATATCCTGCAAGGAAGGACAGATTGTTAGGCTATCCTGAGGCAAATTGACCTGAATGTGAAACCCCGACCGCTTCGTAATAACCTTATGCTAAGACTGCCTCTACGTCGCACAAATTATGGAGCGTACTACAGAGAACATTTAACAGAGTTGCATCTGTTTTCGACTTTCATCTCTCCCATGATGCGCTTCGTCGAAAGTTTTCTTCTGTTTTTCGCCGGCAGGAGTAACTGACTATAAGATATATGTTTTTTTTATGTTATGACCATGCTTGACCCAACAAACATTGCAAGCGTAATAAGATGCCTCTTCAGCTTAAACATAGCTTATTCAGCCCTTAATCAGCACAAATTGTTTGTTGGGGAATGTATTTTTTTTACCATTGATAAGGTTAACATCATTGGGGCTCGGTCCTGACTACGAGGTCTTTCTAGAAGTGGCCAATTTATACAAATTTGGAAACTTTGAAAAAGTTAATAGAACGGGACCTTCTGTAAAGATTGGACTTGGATTAGTTTAACGAATTATGTAGACGTTCAAAACTGTTGTATAGATTTTTTTTTAAAGTTCAGAAATCTTAGTAAAAGTTAAACGAATTTAGCTGTAATTAAAAAAAAACTGCGAAAAACTTCATAGAAGAGCAAGGAATGTTGTAAAAGATCAGGGAACTTCGCATAAGTACGGTCAACTTTATAGAAACTCAGCATACTTTGTAAGAGTTCATGAAGTTTTGTAGATGCTCAATGAATATTGTAGAATTTCAGTAACCTTCTAAGAACTTCAGGGTTTTTTCTCGGGTTTTTTGGAACTTACTGCTGGAACGAGGCATTCAACACCCTCCGTGCTAATTATCTCAGATCCAGAAGATGCGAACGGATACAGGAGCGTACACTCAAAAAATTTATCACATATCTAATGGATGGAATCCATGTGATTTTCACATAGCTTTCCCACAGACAAACAGGCATAACTCTTAGAAGAAAATTCTTCAAAAAATATCGTCAAGCTTATTTTGCATGTGCACTAACACCATCTATCATCCACGTTCCCAAGCATTGATGTGCAACCAGAGCATCCCTCGTTCATGCCACTTTTTCACCCAGTTGCTTTTCACTCGTTCTGTCAACGCTTCAGCTGTGTTGAATAAAAACAAAACAGATGGAAGTCAGTGATGTCGGTTCTACGAAATTTTCCGTAGATCTATAGAATTGATCGAATTCTGCAGAAACACGGATCCGTAGGAAAAATTTACAGAAGCTAAAACTTTTTTTTTTAGGGGATTGTTTTGTTTGTTTAGTGTGCTTTTTCTTTTGCTGGAAACAAGTTTTTAAACGAGGTAATGCATCACTAAGTATTGCCCTTTCTACCACCGCTCATCACTTTAATGTGTGTACAGCAAAAAAAAAAATATAATATGTATCAAGCAATAAAATTCATGGTGAAGTATTGAACATCAATAACTGGTAAAAGGGGTAAAATTTGATAGAATATTACAGTCATCAACATGTTTTGTTCTCGAATTTTGTGTTTATAGTACAGCGTAATATTAGGAATGGAATGACTAATCTGCAGCACTTTTGATGTAATATTCAACAACTTTTTTTTTCTGTATTCGTCAGATTTGGTATGTGTCTCCAGTGGGATGCCTTGACCACTTATCATTTTCAAGAGCTGACATCTACTAACTAGACGTTAAAAAAGAACTGGCATCACTGATAAGTTCGAAATGTGGTGGCTTGCTCAATGCTTCAGTGGCGCCACCATGACAAATGCAAGCACATTCCCAACTAAAACATTATTTGTGATGAATGTCATTGTGAGTGTTATGTCTGTTTGTCTGTGGCTTTCCTGTGATCACATAGGAGCAAATCCCACCAAAAAATCACATAAATATTATGAGGTCCATGACATTCATATGAAAAATCATATAAAATTAATGTGATCGTATAAATTTTATGTGAAATTCAGATGAATTTCATTAATTTTGATTATGGATGAAAATCATGTGCGTTTCCAATGGAAGCTACATGAAAACTATATTGGGTGTAGTGTAGTATCGGCCTGAGACGCCTGAGACGCTAAAACTAAAGCCCTACAGTAAAAGTATCGACGTCTGTCAAAAGTTGTTCCAATCGAACCGTCAAAATGCACCGTTTTCCTCGATTGGAACAGCTTTTTTTCAGTTTTGTGGTGACAGCCGTCCATACTTTTACTGCAGGGCTTTATCTAACACGGGTGATAAAGCAGGGCAAGGGGCAACACACATACACACATACAACGTAAGAGTTGATTTTGAAATTTGTATAACTAAACCCAGATAGCCCAGAGACGATAAGAGACGCGCGAAGAGAATAAAAGTAAATCTGGTTGCACGGTCAGCTAATTTCTTTCTCTGGAAGGTTTGGCAACCTGCCATTTTGTGTTTACCTCTAGTGACTTTTAATTTGAGCGACTGTCATCTGCTTCAGCATCACGATAAAATTAATACCTTTTTAACCGTATCGGTAGTATCGCTATTCAATGGAAGGCAACTCTGAGTGAAACCAAATATACCACATTGGAGGGTTCATTCTACAGAGCGTTGCACAATATTTCGTGAGAATATAACGAGAATACAGCTGGTGAATAACAATAATATTCCCTGTCCAATTTCACTTTTCATACGCAAACTTAATTATAATTATTTAAAGCTCGGTGTATAATGAGGCACGCCAAGAGTGAATCCAAGTCTACCAATTGAACTGTCAAACTGGCTACCTATCGTAAACAAAGTAAACAAACATTACGATGCTATGAAAGGTCCACGAAAAGTATTGCAATAAAATAAAAAAAATATAATTGAATAAATGATCATAAACACGCAGTGAGCATTAAATTGTCATGGGATACGTTTGGTAATGATCAGTAATGAGAATTTCTAATATTTTTTGATGAGATAAATTGACAAAATCACTAAAATAATGATTCACTACAGCCGCTTTTTTTTCTCGCTAGAAGTCATTTGAAGTTGATGTAGAAGTCCTTTGTTGCCAAGTGAAAAGAAAGGTAATCTTTCGAAAACCGTGATGCGCGGTCAACTGTTTTTCTCTTGGTGTGACTCATTATACACCGACTCTAATAAAGACAATCAACCTCAACAATTAAATTCAACGCCAATCTCAATACTTGAACCACGTTTGACGGTTCGATTGGAACTTTTGGCTTCAGTCTTCGCGTGTCTCTTATTTAACATCGTCTCTGAGTTAAGGCCGGCGCACAATGCATACGGTTTCGGGATTTTTGACAGATAATGCATGGGCTAACTGTCAAAAAACCTGAAAGCGCATCCATTGTGCGCCGGCCTTTAGCCAATATATATTTTTTTGTATTTAAAAACACCGTTGTGATGGCGTCGGTAGGATTGGTACTCAGTAATTAATCAGCTAATTTGCGTCAAAATCGTTCGAATTAACGGTGGTCTACGCGAGTCGTAACTTCATCGTTATAAAGCGAATTAATCTTTGGATTCCGACACTTTTGGTTCCATCATTTTGTGATAAAAGATAATAAGTTTTGGCACAACATTCAACGCGTTTATTACATTTACATTAAAACTACTTTTCTAATCAGGTTACATTTTAGATTCTTTGGTTTAACCTCCATGATGTCCATGTCCACCATTACTTCCGTGGCCTCCGTGTCCGTGTCCGTATCCATTGCCATGTCCTCCATGACCACCGTGACTACCTTGATTACCATGTCCACCGTAATTGCCATGTCCACCATATCCACCTTGTCCTCCGTGTCCACCGTGACCACCTTGATTACCATGTCCACCGTAATTGCCATGTCCACCATATCCACCTTGTCCTCCGTGTCCACCATGTCCACCATATCCACCTTGTCCTCCATGTCCACCATGTCCTCCATATCCCCCTTGTCCTCCGTGTCCCCCATATCCTCCATATCCACTTTGTCCTCCGTATCCACCGTATCCACCGTATCCTCCGTAACCTCCATAGCCAGGTGCACCCAGACCTCCTTGGCCTACTCCTAGCAATGCTCCCAACAGACCCTGTCGCTTAACTCGATCCACAGCAGGTCCATCTTCGATCATCTGCGGTTCACTTTCCTCCGCCGGCAAAGCCTTACCCAATGCCAGTAAGGCACTGAAGACCAGCGCTCCACAAATTAATATCTTCATGTTTCACAAATGCAAACCAACTCTTCCGCACCGTGTCAATTGTACTTCGAAACTGATCCTTTCTAGCAGGCGCCAGCCAGTTTATATATACACGAACCATTCGAAAAGTATGCGTCACATTTGTTATGTTTTCAAAGTTGTAGAAACCCACCTTCGACGTACGATCGCATCCCAACCTTTCGCACAGAGGTGAGCTGCGACCGGTTGGCAGCCCATCAACCGTTAACCAAAAATCGGATGCCTGTTACATAAAGATAAAAGTTGTTTTTGCCGGCATAATAAGAAATGACAATCGGATTATTCCATTTCCCCTGACTGTGGACGAACTTTTGCGTGAATACGTACTATATGACATGCGAGATCTGCATGCACATAAGATCCTTTATGGTGTATACGCATCTGAGTGTGCATTAGCAAAGCTGAGTAAAATTTGCGTTGGCATGAGAAAGATATCTAGTACTTTTCTCCCATTCATTATGGTGTATTCGAGATGGAGAAAAGTTCTAGATATCCTTTTCATGCCAACGTAAATTTTGCTACGCTCCGCTAATGCACGCTTAGATCTGAAAAGACAATAGAGCTAATATACTATAGAGGAAGTATAGCGCTGGTGTTCCGTTTGTTCCGATGTTGAATAATACCGGGTACAGAACTGTCAAACTGCATAGTTGTTTCCTCGCTTTGACAGTTGTGTCCCTATTAGATGTAAGGAAAAGATGTTTCGACAGCGACGGCAGCGCTATTCTTCCTCTATAGTTTATTAGCTCTATTAAAAAGACTAACACCATAGAGGTAACTCTAAGACCGGCGCACAATGCATACGTTTTCGGTTTTTTTTTTGACAAATAATGCATGGGCTAACTGTCAAAAAACCTGAAAACGTATCTATTGTGCGCCGGCCTTAAGACTAGAAGGTCCCGAAGAAACGTGCTCAACTTTTTGGTTCAGCTCTGGTACTATCTTCGGTCCCAAGCTAATCGATTCACCCCTTAATCCCTCATTTGATCTGTCAAACTTTCATAGCGAATCAAAACAAACATTGTGTAGTACTGGAATTTATACTAGAATGGGGTACGTTAGTCGATTTGCTTGGGACCAATAGGCTAGTCAAGTAGTGAGTCAATTTAAAATCAGAAGATATCGAGAGGTAATTCTCCAGCAACGACTTTCAACCGAAAAGTTTGCTCCGGTGCTGAAGTGGTGGATCGAAGCCCATTTGCTTTTGTTGTCTCCGCCGTTGTTTTACAGAAGCTCTGTGTGCTGCAGCTGTATGAAGAAATTCGTAAGAAAATCTAGATAAAAATACACGGATAAGCTGAACAGAGCCAATAATCAGAATGAACAAACCTGTTGAACCTTGGTACGTACGATTATAGACAAATAAAAAGGTTGCACTTCCTTGACGAGATTAAAGGCCGACGTTTTCCACCACAGGAGCGAATCTCGAAGCGAATTTGTACCTAGTAAATAAACAGCTGTCAGAATCACAGAAGCACTGTTGCCAGATATACCAGATCAATTTGTACTTGACCACTCATACACTTCAAATACATAAAGGCACAAATCAGGGCACAAATATACTCGTTCGGCACAGTACCGGCACAATGCGGCAAACTACGGCACACTGATAACAGCGTTAATACAAAAGGAGCTGTGCCGAGTGAATGACCCCTTGATACAATCGATGTTTTTCAATGCAAAATCTATTTTTTTTAATATCATTATATTTTTCCTCATGCTTTAGGATTAATTAAATAGTTGTATCATAAACCACATTTCAAACCTCCTTCTTCCCTTTTCCCATCCGAAAAATTTTAAATCTCCACTAACCTCGAGACAACCGCGAGTACTCGGTCCAGTTCCTTTAACTTTAAATTTAAGACAGTAATAATGTATAACGCAAAGGATAACTCGGATTTGTAAAATAAAGTAATTATAAACAAAAAAAAATTATATTTTTCCTAACAAACATTGTTAATTACCACCCTAACATGGAAATGGTCACTCTAATGACAAAATAATAAAATACGGGTCTGATATTTTTCAATAAGAAACTGCCAATTTTAACGAAATTCTGAGAACCACTATACCGTTTTGATATGGAATGGCACACTTACAAATAACAAATTTTACACGTGATGGAATCCATCTTTGACATAAAAAATAAGACGTATACAAACATCTCATGTATTATTGAGAGCTCCGAGATTGAAACATTCGTGGCTCGACGAAAAGAACATTTGATTCACACACGTCTGTTATGACTCAAATTTATGTCAAAATTGACGCTCGTATATGTCACTGTCAGAGCACCTAAATTTACATGAATTTTTCTTTGTGTGTATATTTGTACCTATAATAAAAGAAGTTAACTTTATTACGTCTTTATTTCTATTAAAAAAAATTCTGAAAAAAATATTTACGATAAAAAAATTGCAATTTAAGCCTTAATTAAAAAAATAAAAACGCTTAACGATTTCGAACCCCATTTGAGGAGTTCGCGATTAAGACCTTCATTAACACTCCGAATACGATGCCTAGAATTCCTAAGGGTCGGAAGATTATTCTCATTGTAAAGAGATTAAAAATAGAGTTATGCGTGATTAGGGTTTTTGATCAAATTTCCATCTTACTAAGCACAACCCACGCTTAACCTCTCTTTCTTGAACGGGTTTTAGCAATAAATGAAATGTTTCTATCAAATATGACTTCTAAATTTATTCCCCCATCCATAAATACCGTTGAATTTGATAAAAAGCCACACATTGTTGAGATATTGTTAAAAATCTAACACTGCTTCTTGATTCCAAATTTGTCTTACGAGTTTCAATTCCGTCCAAACGCATTGAAACGCCATTGGATTTTCTTCGTCCTACGGATCAAGGTAGAAAAAGCGAGTTCGCTAGGATCGCTTCTTTTGTTTAGAGAACAATGAGTGTAAATATTCACCCAACAAACAATCGTCTATTGAAGAAACGACTTCTTTACCATTTTATTCAACTGCATGCTTAATAGTACTAGTACTATTTTTAATAATAACTTCTATTCAGGCTTTGTTCACACAAATCTGGAGAATTTATTCAACCACAACATTGAACTACTGGTGTTGTATAAGGTATGTCGAGAAGCTTTTATTCGACTTATATGAGTTGTAACAGAGTTTATACAATACAATTTTTGATTATTCAGCGTTTATTAGACATCACTGCTTCCTTAAAACAGTGATGCTCTGTATACGCTTAATTCTCATGTGAAGTAACGTTTATTTAGACATTATTATACATTTATTAAAAGATTATTCAACTGCGGGAAAATTAACCCGAAAATAAGAGGACAGTGACAGGGAAAGGGGGAAGGGTGTTGTTGTGTGTGTTTCTCAAGTGTATTGTATTTCAATATTTCTGACGTGGCTAGCACCACACAGATATCAGAAACTTTATTAAATACTTATACATGCCGTTGTATGGGATTCGAACCATGTACCTTCCGATCACCAGCCGCTTGCCTTGTCAGCTGAGCTATCCTAGAATTCATCAAATGGGCAACTCAATAATCTATAAAAGCTTGCATGAAAGTAAATACCTATCAGCACTCCCGATCGCAACTCTAGCTCCTTTAAGGCCCTGTGGGAATGATTAATTCATTCGTCGTTATTTTAAATGAGACCAACGTTGCCTCTTCACATCTCCAAGTCGAAAGAAAGGATGCTCGGTTATATTTTAAACTAGATCAATGCATTCATTATCGTGAGTCATGTGATCGATATTACTATTTAAATTAATTATGTTCTACACAAATAAAAAAAGGGTTGAGCTTGGGATTGAACTCATGACCTTCTAATTGGAAAGCGGAAACGGTAACCACTACTCTACTGATTTCGCCTTGTTGTAAGACTGAATCAGTGTTGTCGAATAATGAATCTAATAGTATATATATTCAGCAATATTGTAAAGTAATGCAATGAAATCTAATAAAGGAGCTGGAGAACATTTATTAGACGTCTAATAAAGCATGTTATTAAATCAATTGAAAACAGTCAAATTAAAGTGTCAATGTATGTACAAATTACAGTTATTCAGTTTGTTATTAGATCGAACTTCTGGCGTTGAATTAGGAAGACATTTAACACTTTTACAGCTTTTAATAAGTAAATTGATCAGATCAGAGCAAACAGTGGAACAATGAGCTTTTTCAGCACATAATTCGACAACTCTTTTTATTCAGCATTGTACACTGTTATACAGCATTTATTCAATATATATGCTTATCTGTCACTTTGAATTGTTTGTTGGGCATACAATACGCTCTAATAGGCTTTGTGTTGTAGCTTGTGAACTAACGCATCGGCACAAACGTATTACTGGTTTGTGCACGGTGAAATCATTGATTTTACTGATGTTTTCTGCACGATAGAACGGAAATGGACGATTACGACGAAGTAGCGTTCTACCCTATGGGTTTTACAGGTGTCTTAAGAATTTAGATTAGTGGGGAAAAATGTTCATAACTAGCCAGCAAAAAGTTATGGTTCCTATATATCGATCCTGGAGACAACGAAACGGTCCTCCGGAAAATCCTAGAGCTTCGAGTTTTTTTTTAAACTTTAGGAACTGTGATGAATAACGGTGCCGGTGGTGTAGTGGTAAGCGTGATTAACTCTCACCCCAGCAGGCCTGGGTTCAATCCCAGTCGGCGCCGCCGGGATGTTCTGAGGCATAACATCTCTGATCACGCCTTCCTTCGGATGGGAAGTAAAGCCGTTGGTCCCCGGTTCATGAGTTGATGGGTCGATAGGTAGGGTCCAGGTGTGGGAGCTGCCTTCCTGGCACGTCGGTAGCATTGGTGCTCAGCACGGAAAACAAGATCGACGGAAAAAAGCAAACCAAATGAAAAAAAAAAAACTGTGATGAATTTGGGTCGTGAAATAAACATGAATCAGAATGGCTATGGGACCTTCCTCCGTAAAATTCGTAAAAGTGGTCCATCCATGAAACTGATCCTAGAGCTCCGTGGTTTTTTTAAACACTGTGATATAAGAAAGAATTTGGTTGTTAA